TTCTGTGTATGAAGTATTTAAACTAGATTATTACTTCAACATAGCCCGTGAAAATAGTTCAGTTTAAAACGTAGGAAGAGTTTAGGAGGATGTGAATACAAGTCAGCATGAGAGGTGGGACAAATGGACCAAGTGTCAGTAGGAGAACATGATTTGAACCAATGCTGTTGAGGTCACCCAGTATCGCAAAACAGTTGTCAACCCAACTGAGCTAACCCAACCCTGCCTATGTAATATCTTCCCTTTGACAATTTTTTAGTCCATCCAGTGTCTCAACAAGTTCCTCTTTCACTACAGTTTTGGTAGCTCCGTGGAAAGGACAGATAAAAAGTAGGCATTTGGTGCCTTGGCCATGTACTTTACCTTGACGCAAAAGTCTCTTTTTCAGCCCTACTCCTCCTCTTACTGCCCTCTGTTTCTATGCCTAGCAAAATTTTGGATGTTATCTGCTACCGTTTTCTTGCTGCTCCTATTTCATTTTTCACTTTCTTTCTGAACTTCCTATATTTCGTTGGTTCTCATTTGTACTATTAATCTGATATCAGTACACTTTGTCTGCTTCCTGTTGCTTTCCTAGCTCTTTTTTCATCAACCGAGTTTGGTTTGTGCTACCTTTGCCCCTGGGGGGAATTCGTTTCATTGTACCTGTATTGTTTTCCTCTTTAAAGGCAATTTATTGTTCCATTAGTTTTATCCGGAAATTGGTGGTTGTAATTTACTGGGGTCAGATCTGTTCCTTGAACTTGACCCTCCATCAATTAAGGACTGAGGCTCCAAAACATTGTGTTTTCAAATAAACCTGTTGGAGTATAACCTGGTGTTGTGCGATTTCTGATTTTATCCACCCCAGTCCAACACCGGCACCTCCACAATACAGCATGAAAACAGACTCTTTGGTCTAACCAGTCCATGCCAAACTTAACCCCAAACTAAACTAGTACCACCTGCCTGTGCCTGGCCCATATCCCTCCAAACATTTCCTATTCCTGTAGTTATCCAAAAGTCTTTTAAATGTTGTAATTATACCCACTTCCACCACTTCCTCAGGAAGCTCATTCCACATGCGAACCACCCTGAGTTGAAAAATTTGTTCCTCATGTATTTTTTAAAATCTCTCTCCTCCCTACTTAAAAATGTGTCCCCTAGTCTTGAAATACCCTATCCTAGGGAAAAGATAACTACCACTAACCATATCTATACCCCTTATTATTTTATAAACTTCTATAAGGTCGCTTCTCAATCTGCTATGCTCCAGTGAAAAAGTCCCAGCCTATCCAGCCTGTCTTTATAACGCAAACCTTCCATTCCTGGCAACATCCTGGTGAATCACTTCCGAACCCTCTCCAGCTTAATATCTTTCCTATAACTGGGTGACAAGAATCGGACAGAGAACTCCAGAAGAGGCCTCACCAATGTCTATATAACCGCAACAAAACTTCCCAACTCCTTACGCATAGGACTGTGCAATGAAGGCATGTGTGCCAAATGCCATATTAACCACCCTATCTATATGTTATGCAAACCTCAAAGAATTATGAACCTGAACCCCTAGTTCTTCTGTTATACAACACTACTCCAGGCATTACCATTAACTGTATGTCATACGCTTGTTTGTTGCACCAAAAGTGCAATACCATGGCTATCAGCAAACTTGAAGCTCATGAACTGAAAGGGGAAGTCGCAGCATAAATACAAAGTCGTCTGAATGACAGGAAAGGAGTTATTTTTTGGGTAGTAGGTACATATATAAACAGTTCCCAGGGATTGGTTTAAGACATTATGGACTATTGTGAGCTTTCAGGAGGATAGTGGTAGACTTCAAGAGCACACAAACAGGCTGGAGGAATAGGCAGGCAAGTAGCTGATTCCTTGTTTCTCCAACCAAAGTGTTAGGCGATATAAAGTAAAGGAGCCAGTTCTGAACTGGACTCGGGAGTAGACAGTTCTGGTAACATACCCACGCAAACGACTGAAGGTGGAGGGTAGATTGAGAGAGTGGTTAATAAAGCAAACAGGATCCCAGGGTTTACAATAGCAGAAGAACACAAAGGCAAAGATGTTTTGGTAAACACTGGCTCAGTCTCAACAAGAGTGCTGCATTAAACTCAGTGCAATGCATTAAAGGAAGGATGCGAAGACATTGGATAGGGAGCAAAAAAATTTTAAAAGAATAGTTGCAGGAATGAGAGATTTCAGTTATACTGACAGATTGGTAAACGGGGCTTTGTTCCTTGGAGAAGGTTGAAAGGAGATTTGTTCGCGGTGTTCAAAGTCACAAAAGGTCAAAGTGGATGCAGAGAAATTGTTCCCATTGGCAGAATGGTCAAAAACCAAAAGGCATCGATTTAAGATGACTGAAGTGCCAGGAGCAACATAATGAAAAACACGTTTACGCAGCAAGTAATTAAGATCTGGAAAGCATTGCCTGAGAGTGTGATGGAGGCATATTCAGTCGTAGCTGCCAATAAAGTGCTTGATATTATTTAAGAGAGTAATACAATTACAAGGCTATGGGGAAAACCTGCTTGGTGACTGACAGGTCAAGTATCTCCCTTCAATGCTTCTATAAGGCAGTGAATTAAAATGACAGATGACTGGTAGATCAAGGCTGTGCTTACAAATGGAGTTGAGGTTTTCCTCAAAAGCACCATTCATTGTGTATTTGGTTTCTCCAACGTATAGAAGGGAGCTTTGTAAAGGAGCTCCATTCAGTCCACCAGCATGGGTCTGAGCTTCTGATCACGCGTTGTCGGGATTCCCCCCCTCGCCTTCATGCTGACCCTGCCTGGCTCAACCTCCCATAGCGCTCCAATGTCAGAGAGAGGAGCAGAAGCTCATCTTCCAATTAGGCATTTTACAGACTTCTAGATTCAACATTTGTGTTTAGCAATTTTAGACCATAACCTCTCACCTAATTTTGTTTCTTTTTCTTTGTGGGTTGTTTTCCTCGAATTTTTCCTTTATTTTTGCTTCCATGCCAGCAACTGTTCATCATTTTGCCATTCACACCTACTCTAGACACATCTTTTGGTTCTACATTTCTTCAACTGCCACACCCTATAGCCCTGCATGCTTAGTCATTTAAATTGCTCCCTTCTTGCACGTTATGACAGACCTTCCACTTCATTTCTCCCACCTTCCTCCCTTTCACTTGCTTAAAATGTATTATCATCTCTGGTCTTTTACAATTCTGATGCAAGGTCATCAAGATGAAAGGTGATGTCTGTTCCTCTTCTATCCTGATGTTGTCTGACTTGCTGACTATTGTTGGCATTTTTTTTTAAATTTCAAATTTCCAGCATCCACCCAGTATTTTACTTTTGGATTATTTGTAGTGTAGTACTCAAAAATGAGTAGATCACTTCATGGTTGTGGTAAAATGCAAATGAGCCTGAGTCAGGAATTAGGATTTAACCCAACAATGAGGCAAAGTGGAATGCAAAGGTACAAGGGTAATGCTCAACTTTGTTCTGGAATCAATCCAAGTGTTAATCATGCTAGTGCAGTCCAGGTTGGACACGAGTTTAAATTTATAAGTAAAGACATCCTACAGATTTAGTAAAAAAACGAAAGAACTGCGGATGCTGTTAATCAGGAACAAAAGCAAAGTTGCTGGAAAAGCTCAGCAGGTCTGGCAGCATCTGTGAAGGAAAAAACAGAGTTAACGTTTCGGTCCGGTGATCCTTCCCCTTCCCCCGTTTTGAGGAAGGGTCACCAGACCCGAAACGTTAACTGTTTTTTCCCTTCACAGATGCCGCCAAACCTGCTGAGCTTTTCCAGCAACTTTGTTTTTGTTCCTGCAGATTTAGCCCTGATTAAGGTGTCGTGAGTATTCATTGTATTGCAGAATCATGCATCCTTGCAAACTATTAACTATGATTGCTTCACTATTTTGCTTCAAGATTTCAAGTGATTGTTTTACTGTGAATTTCAGTTCATTTCAGTTCAATTACAGGGTAGATATTGAGAAGAAGTTTACAAAAGTGGGAGAATCTCTCACAAAGGGGCACAGTTACAAAATAAGGAAACACTCATTTAAGACTAATATGCAAAGCAATTTCTTCTCACAGAATGTAGTTTTTTTTTGCCTTTCTTCATTCACAGGATTAGTGCATCACTGGCCAGGCAGCATTTATTTCCCATCCCTAATTGCCCAGAAGATAGTTCAGAATCAACCACATTGCTGAGGGTCTGGAGTCACACGTAGGCCAGACCAGGTAAGGATGGCAGTTTCCTTGCCTCAAGGACATTAGTGAACCAAATAGGTTTTTCCTGACAATCGACCAATGAGTTCATGGTCATCATTACACCCTTAGCTCCAGATATTTATTGAATATCGTCTGCTGTGGCAGGATTCAAACCTGGGTCCCCAGGACATTACCTAGGTCTCTGGGTTAACAGTCCAGTGATAATAACCACTAGGCCATCACCTCCCCATGTAGTGAATAGCTGGAACTCTCTCGCAAAGACAGCTGTGGTGGCTAAATCACACAGTACTTAAAGAGGAGACAGATCAATTTTTGAAATCAAAGAGTTGAGGCCAATGAGGAACTGGTACACAAGAGGAGTTGAGGCCTAGGGCAGATGAACCATGATTTTATAGAATGGCCATCCAGACTTTCAGAGCTGAATGGCTTACT